GGATTTTCCTTTGTTCCTGTTACTCAAGGTTACGTCTCCAAAAGCATTTAAAGGATAAGTAGAGGCTGGGTCAGCCTGCCTCTATTTATCTCCACAGATAACAAGGCTGGGATGGGATTTCCTCCCTCTGAAGCTGCTGGTCCTGGGCGGGCTGGGAGCCAGGAGCTCCCCCCACACACCCTGAACTCAGAGCCTGTCAGCCCCCACTGTGCAGAAATGGAGAAGTGCTCGCTCCCAAAGAAAGAGAAGAGTTACGATTTCAGGGAAATAGAGTGCCTGGCACAAAAATATCTCTTGACCTCCTGCAGAATGCACCGTCCTGGGAGGCTTTCGGTGCTGGCTGCTCGGGCTGCTGGGCTGAGGGGACAGATTTTCAACAAACTGCACAGAAAATAGATTCATTATCAAATACCAGAATATTTTTAGTCCTCCCAGGGTTGTATTTATAGTAACCTCTACTAGTGGGAAGTTCTTATAAGCAGAAGGGAATTTTAAAGGCATGTTTTTCCAGGCTGATGACCATCAAGACAAGGTCAGCTTGGATTAAAAAAAAATAAGAGAAACCTAATCAGGATGCACGGAGCCTTTTGACTTGGGAATGCTGAGATATGCGGGAGAGAAATAAAAATAGAACCCCCCTGAGCAGCCCGGGAGGGAGCAGTTTTGGAAGCTGCAGCCCCGCAGGGATGCTGAGGGATGGTGAACACACCACGCTGGGCTCTCAGGGCTGGGATTCTGCCTTGCCCAAATGGCTTTTTCAGTATTTGGGGGAGATTTTGTTTTTTTCCAGTTGACAGAATTGTAACAGAGCAGCAGCAAGAGGCTTGTTAGGGATGTTTCCTTAACGTGCAGTGGGAAGAGCCTCTGCTGGGCTTCGCAGCCTTGTGTGCACAGGGTGGAAGTGAAGAGAAATTCCTCTTCTCCTGTCAAAGCTGTTCGGCCAAGAGCAGGAATGATTCATTTGTGCACAATTCTGGCTGTTGGGGCACAGAGACCTCCTTGGGGCTGAGCTGAAGTGTGGGATGGAGGGTGGGTGGAGGGGGCAGACCCAGCCCTCAGCCCTGGTTTGTGCCCAGCAGATCCAGTGCCTGGGAACTCCCAAGGGACAGGATCATGACACCCTGAGGAGCATCACTGCCAGACACAGGGCTGGTCCCCACCTCGCCCTGGGGGACCCCCTGTCCCACCTGGGCTGCCCCTTCCCAGCACATTCCCAGTTCCCCCCGGCCCTGGGAGCTGCCAGCACAGTGGGTCTGAAGGGAAACCTGCTGCACTCACCCAGAGAGAAAGATGCGGATCACGGCGTAGAACACTGCGGGATCCACGTGGTCTGGGAGGAAAGCAGGGAGGTCAGAGCAGTCACAGCCACACGTGTGATGAGCTGTGGCCTGGGCAGGGCTGTGCAGACACAGCCTGGCTGGGGCTGCTCTCACCGTGCATCCGCCTCAGCGCCTCCCTCATGGCCTCGATGGCCCCTGCCAGCTCCTCCAGGGCTCTCTGCAGGGTCTCCTCATCGCGCTGCAGGATGGCAGGAAGGGCCCTGATGATTGCCTGTGAGAGGAGAGGAGAGGAGGGAGAACACCAAGTGACAGGGAGGGGTGGGATGCCTGTGTACAGCGGCTCTGGACACTCGCTGCCACCCATGCCAGCTCTGCTCCTCCCCAGTCCACATGCAGGGGACAGGGTCACCTCGTGGGTGCACCTGTGGGCACTTTCCAGGTGAGCAAAAAGCCCCGGGACATGGCAGTACCCACCTTGATGCCAGGCACAGCCGCCTTCTCAACCAGGAGGGTGACGAGGACGAAGCCCCGCAGGCTCTCTGCCCCGGGCAGGGTGATGATGGGCTCCAGGTTCCTGCACGGAGCAGCCAAGGAGAGGGATTAGTGGGGTTGTGGCTCAGGATTTCCCTGCACACCACACCTGGGACCCGCTGAGCTCTTGGAACAAAAACGCTCCCAGGCTGCAGAGCCTCTTCTCTGCACCCTGGGCAGAGAGGAGCTGGCACAGAGCAAAGGGGGAGCTGGGCTGGTCTGGTTTAGGGGCACCCACCGCCCTCCCCAGGCCCTCCTCATGCCCCATGGATGCTGGACCTGCACGGACAGAGCAGCCCACATTCCGCTGCAGTCACTGTGCTGTCGTCTCAGTGGCATTTGTGAGACAAACCCTGGTGTTGCTGTGTGTGCACACAGAGAGGGGCTCAGCCTGAGCAGAACCCTGCAGTGCTGGAGAGCTGAGCCCATCCAAACAAAACCAGCACCGTTAGAAAATAAATGAGCATCTTAACTACTTACTCGATTTCCAGAGGCCTGAAGGCGTTTCAGTTGTGGCCAACAAATGCAGGAGAAAATGCGGGGGGAGAGAGAGAGAGAGAGAGAGAGGAGCATTATAAATTGTTCTGGTGACAGGTTGTGCTCTGCAGGGAATAGGGGAGTTGTTCCCAGGGGCTGCTCCCACAGGCACCCACGTCCCCACAGGGTTCCTGTGTCCACCCCAGCCATGGCGGGGCTCAAGGGGAGGGGTCTGGCAGAACAGGAGCAGTTTGGGAACCGTCTGTCCCCAGCACCTGCTCGTTCTGCGGGAAGGGCCGCGCTCCGTCCGCCGGCGTTCGCCCGTTTACCCGTTGGGGTCCTTCCTCCTCCAGTTGGCCAACACAAAGTCTGCGTGGCTGAGGATGGGCGGGAGGCCCAGGGCCTCGGAGACCTCCCAGTAGGGCACGGCGAGGTTTCGGGGCAGGACCTGGACGGCACAAAGCACGGGGGAAGGTGGGGACGCTGCCAGGCCGCTGAAGGGTGCCCGTGCGTGGGCACCAGCCGGGCAGGAGGGGTCACGCTCCCGCTGCAGCAGCAGGAAAGGGGCTTTGCTCCCGTGGGATGGGTTCCGTGGGAGCAGCATCAGCCCCCGGACCCCAAGGAGCAGGTGAACCTGCTCTGCGCTGCCGTTACCTGCACGGTGCCCTCCTCGCCCTCCTGCCAGACGTAGCCCATGGTGATGAAGCTGAGCACCAGGTGTGCCAGGTGCAGCTCCTCACGGCCTCGGAGGTGCCGGGGGCTCAGCTGCGGCATCTGCCAGGGAAATCCTTGGGAGCAAAGGGGCAAAGCCGGCAGTGCCAAGGGCCCCCGAGGTGGGGTGTGTCCTGCCAGCCGGGGTGAACCCTCCTAAGTGCCTCTCCCTGCCTTCAAGCCTCCCTTCCCACCCGCCCTGCAGGATTTGCTCCTGTTCCACTTCTGCTGGTTTGTGAGCAGGGACAGGAATCCGTAGGGTTTTCCTCAAAAGGGAAGCCCCTCTTCCTGGTGCTGGGATGCCCCTGGGAGCAGCTGATCCCTGTGTCCCTTGGCGGGGAGCACGGCTGGGATGAGACACGGCTCCTGTGACATCTAGAGGGCCCCCTGCTCGCCCTGCTCCAGCCCTCGCCGGCTGCTGCCTCCCGGCTCTGCCGCGGGAGCTGTTTCTATGCTGGGTGTTGTTTCCGTGCCGATGTGAAGGCTTTGCTGTCGCCTGGTGTCAGCCCTGGCTCAGGACAGGTCCCTGCTGCTGGGTTGCTTTCCCACGCGTTTTGCAGATGCTGCTGTGTCAGACCGAGGTCTGGGAGAGCTCCAGAGGCAGGAGGAGAACACGGTACCG